CGCCCCCGCGATGTGGGGCAATCCCGCGGGAGCGGAGGCGTCTGCTGGCGTCAACCCGGGCAGGGATCGGTGCCTGGCCTCCTGCCGCTCCCCGGCGCTGGGGGGGAGAGGGGGCCTGCGAAGACACCAGCTCGCCCCTAGGTTGGGCTTTGCAGGGGGAAGTGTGTGCCCTCGTTTTAATCTCACGCTTCTGCCAGCCGCGGCCGGGGAGAAGGCAGGGGTTTCTGTGTGGCTTGTACAGCTTATTTTCCGAGTGCCGTGTCTGTATCAGCCCTGTAAACCGTGCCAGGTATTCACACCTTTTTCAGGCAGTTGGTGCTCTATGGCCTTCAGAGAGACGTATGACAAGACACATGACATATGACCCTGTGACCAGGGTGATGGCGGGGAAGAGATCTGAGCTGTTTTGACTGGGTTGTTATGAACAACATGTAAAGCTGGGTTTTTTTTTTCTATATTTTTCCATCCTTATAGCTTTATTTGGAAACAGATCGAATAACTACTAGTGCTGTGTAACACAAAATGTGTGTATCAGCTTATTTTGGTGTAGCTGTTCTTTGCCAGCAGATTGTTACTGTCAGGTGTCTTCCAGATACTCAGACTTTTGAGTTGAAATGCAAGCATCAAGTGGCTTTGTGGTTTTCTTCATTTTCGGTTTTCAGTTTAGAGAAAAACTGCAAGAAAGCTCTAGATGGTTCTCTGATTTCACGAGAGGAATAAAAGCATTTGGCAGACTGCTTATTTTGCCTGAGTATTTAATAGAATCATATTCATAGTTGTCAATGTTGTTGGTTTTCAGTTGGTTGCTACCCTGCCTGAGGAAATTCGTCCTGGGCCTGATTTCCATGGACTTCCATGGGAGCCTGTTATTATCACTGCCTTAGTGGGATTTGCCACGCTTGCTATAATTTTCTGGAGAACCTGCCTTTCAGTGAGTATGCTTCATGCTTGCAAGCCTGCTACTTCACTTACTGAGCGGTCTTTTGTATGGTTAAACTGTTTCAGTGTTACTGGGGTCAAAGCAACGTGTAGTCTTTTGCGGTTTTGCTTTTTCTGTTTAGAGCATTAATGTGAACTAAATGCTGGGCTTAATAGCTAAACTAAGTTGTAATTTTCTTCACGCTAAGAAGCGTTTCCTTTAAGCTATTAATTGAAGATTTTTTTAGTAAGGGGCAGTTTTGAAAGCAAAATAAGGGGGTATGATGTAAATCAAGAAGACCGAGGAAAGGGTCAGCATATCTTTGAAATGAGAAGCCTTCCATGTGCTTGAGCCTGTTGCTGACTATCTCCAAAACAAGCAGTTAATCCTTCCCGGTCATATTGTCCAGCTGCTTGTAGGTGCCGCATTTAGAAACCTAAACACCTGATCTTAATTCTCACCGGAGAGCCCCTTCCTCACTCTGCATTTGTCCTCCTCTTTCCTACACGGATAATTTTCTGTGCAAGAAAAATGCTATCACCAGCTCTCAAGTATAGCAGTGCATCTCCTTGGGAATTGATAGATGAAAATCAAATAGGACAGTTTATTTTATAGCTGTCCAGTTCAGTGATGATATGCTCTGGAAGTCTGTGGAATACTTTGTCTTTGCTTGACAGATATACATTAAATATTATCTGTAATAACACTGGTATTTTTTTTCCTTGCTTAGTTTTGACATTGAATACACTAGGTCAGTTTCAAATGCAAAATAGTGCTAATTTAACAGCATGGAAAGAAAGCTTCTGAAATTCTTTTATAGTGTTAGTTTTGAAATGAGCGACTGCCATGTAAACATACATTGCTTTAGATGGATCAGAACTGGGATGCAAGTGGTTTTTGTGTTTGCAAGTTCATGACTGTTGTTTGATGCAAAATGGCTTCATTTTCTTTGTTGCAAATTGGATGTAGGCAGTTACTGCTATCCTTTTAGTGACTGAGTAACAGACATTTACTAAGGCTCTAGGACAGGGCATTAACCTAGAAGCTTTTATTAGAAAACAGCTTAAGGTTGTTTGTAGTGTTATTCAACACTCTTGTTGGCAGCGATAGATGTGTTTTCCATATGCTGCTTTAATCCGCGTGCAAGTGGTGACTTTTTTCCATAGGAAAAATTAATAAAATTTTTCACTTATCACTTTTATAGCTTTTTCTTTTTTTTTCCCTTCTGCAGGTAAAGAGTAGAATATATCAAGGTAAGTTTCTCTGTGCTCTTCAGTGTACTTGATGTTTAGGCATGTAAAAGTTTTGAAGATTGTTTCAGAGGACCAAGTGTCAATCTTCACTCCCATTCAAGGAGAATGTTAAGTCTGGGGTTATGGTGTAAGCTAGGCTGGTAGATGATACTTGAATCTGAGGATTTCAATTGCTTTCGATAATGCTTTGATTTGGAGAAACAGTGCAGCTCACACATGCAAATTAAAGAAAAAGGCAAGGAAAAATTCCACCTTGTTCAACATAAACGTGATCCATTGGTTTACTGGTATAGTGGTGGTTTTCTGACTAGCAGTGAATCTGCTTTTGCTTGTGGCCTCTCACAAAAAGCAGTAGCTAGTTCCTCTTGCCTTTTTGGATTGAGGGGAGCCTGAAACTGCCTGCTGTGCAGTTGCAAAGAGACCTTCTAAATGGAGACCTAAATATGCAGATATTCCTGTGGCTAGCACATTGCTTTTTGCAAACGCATTTCTCCAGCTTCAAGTATATAAAATTAAAGTGTGCTGAATGGAAAGGAAATAGAATTCAAAGTAGGGCAATTGCTGAAATTCATAATTGAATACAAAACAAAAATATGAAAGAATTGTCTTCACATGAACTCTGCGTGTTTCCTCTTCACAAACCATGCTACTTATCTGTCATTCCTCTCTAATTTCATTGTAGTTATACCGCAGTTTCCTTCTATATAACTAATGCAGAATTGGTGAGCTGAAAAAATCCATCTTGGATCCATAAGGAGACTTCTGTGCTGCAAAACAAATATTATTGGAGGGGGAAAAACATCAGTATCAGTGTTGTAGAAATTACTTAGGAGCCCGCCTTTAGAAAAAAACAAAACAAAACAAAAACCAACATAGATCTAATCCCCTTTTTGCTCCCCCCCCCAATATTCTTCTGTATAATACTGTATAGAAACTACCAAAACTAAGAGCAAATAAGTATTCTTCAAGTGTGATAAAATTCATGTTGTTACTAAAATCTTTATCTAAAATGGAGGAATATTGACAAAAGTGCATTAAGAAATAGATTGCATTTGGAATCCCAAAGATAAAATCTATTATCCACTCTTCATCACAGTAGTAAAATTGGGAGACCAAGCTAATGCAGGGATTCCTGCCCCCCTTAAACTGCTGAGAACTATCTTGTACCTCAGCAGTCACTTGTTGGCTCTCCTCTTCCCAGAGCAGGAAGGGCTGGGGATCCTCTGGCCTGGAAGCCCTGGTGTGGGAGGGGAAGGAGGAGTAGCAGTTGCCATTGCATCCTGTGGGATGCAGTTGGAACAACCAGTGCTTCCTGTGTGTGCTGCAGGACTTGCTGTGAGGCAAATGGGGCTTGGGGTGTTCAAATACGGGGGTGGTGTAGGACTTGAAAAAGAATGACAATTGGATGTTTCTTTAAATTAATTTGCAGTAAAATAATTTAAGTATGTTAATGATTTTTGTTGAATCCTGAGCGTTGGTTGGCAACTTTTTAGGTTGAGAAACAAATGCGTGCCTAAAGAACAGTTGCTTGGTCACAGCCCTTTTGAGGTCTGTGAGCAATAACGTTTGTTAGAAAGCCATGCGGTTCCTTGAGGCTTACTGATGCTGCCTGCTAGCTGACAGTCTCTTTTCTGTTCCCAGTAGGTCTTTCAGAGCTTTCATCCTATTGTCTTTGCTGACCAAACATTCAGTTTCAATACAGCAGGCAGAGGTGGTTGTTAGGGAAGGTGTTGCATCTCCCTGAGTGTCACAGGGACTGAGACTGCTCTGACATCCTCACTGCCAATTCTTTCCTTGAACATACCTCATCTGTGTGTAGCCAGCGCCTTACTCTGCTCTGCTGTGCGTTCTCTGACCAGCTTCTGTGAAGTGGATGCAAAAGCTATATGCTTTGTGTCAGTGTTCAATGCTTTTACTGTCTTGTTTTCAATCCTAACTTTACATGAAAGCTGGAGATGCTTAGACTCCTGCAGAAAGGGCTGACTGCCAGGGAACTGACGCTATCCTGATTTGTGCTTTAGTCCTTACTTGAAAACGTTCCCTAAGGTGGTAGTAACTATAGCTCTGATCCCCACCCCCCCCGGATATGAAGTACAGTTACTGTAAGCTTTCTTTTTCTTCCTAGTGACTGAAAAGCAGCTTGCTGAAAAGATTAAAAACCTGCTACAAGAAAAAACAGAAATCTTAGAAAAGATATCAGAATATGATCAAAAGGTATTGTTCTAGGTTCTCGTCCCTTTGCTTCCTAATTTTTTGTTATTGGTTTAATGACATAGTCAATGCAACAGCTAATATATTTTTATTTTCTATTCTTACTGAATATTATGCTGACAATTTCCTCAGCTCTGTTTGGTTGTTTCTGTGCTTAGATAAAGGAAGCAAAGGAATCTGTGAAAGTGGCCCAAGAACAAAAAGATGTTCTCTCGGATGAAACTGCAGGGCTTAAGGTAAGAAACAGTTAACTGTCTCTGTACTGAAAGCAAAAACATCAATAAAATAACTTGCTTTAGTTGGTCTCTTTTTTTTTTTTTTTTTTAGGACACTGTCAAAGGACTGGAAGAAGCAAATCGTCAGCTAGATGACAAAGTAAAAAATCTGCACACAATGCTTGAAACAGAGAGAAAAAAGAATGAGAAGAAACAGATCTCGGCAAGAGCAATCACACTAATGTCTTATATTGTCCTTAACTTAATGTGCCCTAAAAGCTGGTCACAACCTGATGGGTAAGCAGATAGAGGTGGAGCAAATAAGATGAACCATCTGAAAGAGAGAACTGAAATGCAGTTTCAGGTTCATCCCAAGCTCAAGGGGGAGAATCTATTGATTGCATGGTGGGTGGGTGGTTGTTTGGGGTTTTGGGTTGGGTGGTTTTTTTTTGTAAGATCTTGATGAATTTGTGTGGTTATGTGCTTTTACACACAAACGGATGTATTCAAGTCTTGGGCTAGTCTAATACTTCCTAGCCAGAGCCAGGAAGTTCCTTAACAGAATATGGGCTGAAGGTTTCAGGCTGGTAAGAGACGTTTTCTTGTACTTAGAGGAAGCATCTAGTTCTATAGTAAGTGTGAAGATCTCTAAGCTGCCTGTCATTCTTGTTGTCTAGAGGTGGTACTTTTTTTTTTCTTTTTTAAAAGCCTAATTTTCTGTAGTAATGGTAAGCTCCAACAAGTTCTGTGGTGTTTTGGTCAAAGGTTGTTGCTAATGACAGCAGCACGTGGTACTTCCGTTCTAGACTGTGCATGTGTACAGGGAACTTTCTCAGCCACGGATAGGCAGAGTCACAGGGAGAATTCGATTCTGATGTGCTGTGTGTTTCTGTTCCTTGCCTTGCTGATAAGGCAGTGCTGTGTTGCTGCTAGTCTAATGGCTGCTCCAAAGGGAAATTTGTTGGTGTTTTGACTTTCCTATTATGCTTCCAAAATATACAGCTAAGGTAATTACACACTCGGGCTAAGACATGCACCAGGCTAATACAAAGTCACTGCTCATCTTTTTCTTATATAGATCTCCGAAACCCAGAAGTCCTTGGAGAAACTTCAAGAGGCTATCAGTGTGCATTCTGTAGAGCTTTCAGAGGTAAAGCATTATCTACATCCTCTTAACAGTCACAGGTACAGGTTCTTGTACCAGGAAAATTTGTATCTAGGATGTAATTGAAAATGCTAGCTTGGCAGATTCCAGGTTGTTTGTGCATATATACCTTTTTCTTTTCCATTGCCGGGTAATACATAGCTCTTGCTCCGTTACAGTTTGACTTTGTCTTTTTGTTCCTTTTTCTTTCATATGTAGGTGCAGATAGCCCTTAATGAAGCTAAACTAAGTGAAGAAAAGGTGAAATCTGAACTTCATCATGTGCAGGAAGAGAATGCTAGGCTGAAAGAGAGCAAGGAGCAAGTAAGTTATGCCCAGGCCAGGCAACTGTGTTTCTCTTCCGAACGAAATATCGGGGCTTTATTCCTGGTTTTCCTGAGTATAATTTCAGTGTGTTTCTGTTTTCTTAACATGTCAAAATTCCTCATTTCATATTATCAAGGTAAAATTTAAACCCCTTGCACCTGCCCGCACAGGCTTTTTGTGCAGGTGAGCCACAAGGCTTTGCCAGTTCCGGTGATTCAGTTTTTGTCAGCAACTTCACAGAAAGTCTGTGCTGATGTGGTGGTCACTGCACGGTTGGGAGATTGTTGCTTAGGATCAGGACTGAAGGAAGTCATGGTAAAGAATTGCCAAAAAGCAATTCTGAAGCAAAGCTAAATGGGGAGGCCCTTTAGGCCTGAAATATCACGACTTCTTTTACAGATAATTGTAAATGTCTGTCTGTTTTCTTTCTCCGTATATGAAGTAGATGGCCTTTTAAGGAATGTGGTTTGATTACCTCTGGACTGCAGTTAATTCCTCGTATTTTGAAGCGTGTGAGCAGTTTGGTTCTGATGTTGGGATATTGGCTGAGAAAATGTCAAATTTGTAAAATCACCTAATAATATAAATTGCAAAAAGATACTCAGCATCCAGTTCTACCAATTGACTAGTGATGAGTGTGATAACTGTGAAGTTTACGCTTTATCTGTGGTGATCAGTTACCACCAGAGCTGGTAGTAGAATGGACTTTAATTACATATATCCTGTACTAAAAATAAAACAAGTAGTCATCTTGTCTTGGTGCTTCATACAGCTGCTAAAAGAAGCTGAAGGTTGGAGTGAGAGGCATACTGAGCTCAGTGAGCAGATCAAGTTGTATCAGAAGTCTCAGAAGGACATAGAAGAAGCACTTGCCTACAAGGAAAATGAAATTGAAGTAGGTTCTTTATAACAAGCTTGCTTTAAATATTACACATCATAAAATACTTTGGAATACTTTACAAAATGCAGAGGGGTTCTCCTTCACCGAACCTTTGATTTCATTACTAGGTTTTAACTAACTGCATTATGCAGCTGAAGCAGCTGGACGTGGATTCAGCATCTGAGGCCAAGAAGGATGGTGAAGGGCGTGAATGGAGCGCAGGAGGCGATCTGGCCAATGGAGAGTTGCCAGGTACAGTAATCCTACCTGCTGGCTGATACGCCCAGTGGCTAAAGCATATGCAGTGGTACGGTCATGTCATGTCATATGGGGAACAAGAGGAATCCATGCATGTAGCTGCCTGTGGGTTAAGAGGCTGCCAAGCTTTAATCCTCAGACAACACAAAATACCTCCTAACTGAAGGGAGAGACCATTAAAAAGGCCTATAACTGCCTTTAGATTACTGTTTAGGTATATCGTAAGTGTAATGACACAGTTTTAAAGATGGCATATAAAGGTTAGCAGTTCAGAACATTCCAAAAGCTGAGAATCTCAGCTTTGTTGTTATGCTACATTCATTTTTAATATGAATTTTTAATCAGTATTGTGCTTACCTCTGGTTAGATAACTAATTTACGTAATCACATCTTTTAAATCAGAGAGACAGAAATAGACATTTTCAAAACTATTCAGGAAGTTTGTCATTCCTGAAGTTGCACATGTATTTGCTACATCTCTGGTTTTGAAGTCTTTTTTAATTTTCCTTTTTTTCTAACCGTACAGTATATGTGGGCTGGAAATTCCCACTTTTTGATTTTCAGATAGCATGTCTGATAACAGATACTGCATTCGTATTAATGTTAGTGTGCTGGCTAGAAGGAAGTGACGAGAAGGAATCCTCTGAATTCCTTTTGAAATAAATCTAATAGTTCTGCTGTGCTGGTTGTGGAATTGCTATTGTGTTTTGTTCCCCACCTCCCCCCCTTTTTTTTTTTTTGACCATGTAGGGAGATTTATCCCAGATTAAAATGTATGGAGTGTTATTTTTAACAGCTGTAGAGTCCAGGGAATTGGGGTTAAGAAACGGGGAAAACAAATACATTTTTCTCTTCTAGATAATGAGAGTGAGAAGATGAAGACTCAGATCAAGCAGATGATGGATGTCTCCAGGGTATGCTGCACAAGATATCTAATAAATCCAGCCACGTTACTGCTATGCCTAAGATCATAAACTTTCTGCTCCTATTTTCAGGTAAAAACTATGTTATCCATAGTTGAAGAAGACAGAAATCTTCTGCAATCCAAACTGAGTGATGAAGTAACAGCAAGACATGAGCTGGAAGGTAGGCTTAGCAAAAGAATTGTTTAGGATGAAGTGATGTTTGTAGTTTAAAAAGAAACTGTTTAAGTGGCACGACGATTCTCATTGCAACTTTCTTAAACTTCCTCACCTACCTTTGCTTCTCCAACAGAGCAAATAAAAAAACTAGAACATGACTCCTGTTCGCTCCAGTCAGCCAAAGCCCGGCTGGAAAATGAGTGCAAAACACTACAGCAGAAAGTGGAGATTCTTGGTGAACTTTACCAGCAGAAGGAGATGGCACTCCAGAAGTAAGCCTTTCCTTACTCTTCCACAACAGACCATGTTATATCATATGCACTATCCAAATGCTCTTTGCTCAGTGGGATCAAATAACTTCAAGTTGTATTTGGAGTGAAAGGTGATGACTGCTGTTTCAGTACAGTTGAAGCCCTCTTTTACTCTTTCCACTGTTCCAGAGATTCTAAAAAGACTGTCACTTTGCACACACAATGTTGCCTTCTACCATAAAAAACAAAACAAAAAAACCCCAACAAAACAAAACAAACAAAAAACCCCCTCCACAAGTTCTGGAGAGGGGAAATGGGTGTCTTGGTCTGCAAATTCTGTGGTTGCTGTCTCACATTGTCCAGAAATGTCAAGGAGAATATAGTGGCCATTAAGATTTGTTTCAGTTACTCAGATCTCAGCTCAATGAGTCTAATTCTCATAATGTAGAAACTTAGTATTTTAGCCTTGTGAGCTTTTTGCGTTCTCAGAGAGCTAAATTAAGGTTGAGTTCATGGTGGTAGATGAGATGAATGAATTGCTAGCAGTGAAGAACTAGTTGTATGTCTGTGTTAATTCCTCATTTATTTATTCATTTATTTACTTACTGAAATGTCTGTAATACCATCTCAATTTTGTGGGGAAAATTCGAGATAGGATTCGGGCACATTTTCAGCTAAATTCCTTAGGAAAGCTGAAATTGTGGAGAAGCAATTGAAACTTCTAAGGTTCAAGCGTGTAGGCTGGGGGAAGCACAGGGTTGAAACGAGCTAAGGAATTGAGGCTATACAGCACCTCAGTAGTGAAACTGCCTGACGTCGTAACTTTAGGATCCAGGTGTAGTAAACACATAACGGAGAGGGGAAGGATCGCCCACCTTTCGAGGAAAACTTCCTCTTGACCTCTCTGAAGGATTTCTATTCCTTCCAAAACTTTTAGGAAGTTACACTGCCTGTTACTACTTCTGGATTCGAATGAAGGACTTACTGTAATTTTTTTCTGGAAATGTAGCCAAGGAAATGGATTATGTTTTGAACTGGCTATTAGCAATGGTCACCTTACTACTAGTTTAATGGTTCCAGTTTTGTGGGATAGCTCTTGTAAGTTAAAAACACATTATGGACCTCTTAAATACTTCCAGAAAAATGTTAAAAATTAAAAAACTAGTGAACCATGAGGCTATAAAAAGACTGTGGAAATTGGTCATGTAATAAATTGGTATGGAGAATACCTGGAAAAAAGCTTCTTTCCACATGGTTGATGGCTATTGAATGTGTCTGTCACCTGGGCCCTAAACTCCCCCTTTTTCACTACACATTCATTTCTTCCTTTCCCTTGGTTAGATGTCAGTTCTGCATATTTCCTTGTTTTATACCTTTGTAAATCTGGATTAGCATTTGTAGAATTGGTAAGTAAACTACAGGATCTGAAGAGATGAACTGTCTGCAATTGTTAGATTCTGACAAATCTTTAGATGCTGACAGAACTTTCCAGTCAACTCTGTGCCCTTCATTTTCAGGTTTTATACACAAAGGGTTTGTCTGTTGGTTTCAAAAGACAGTATTTGTCTCCAAAAAAAAACCCCCAAACAAACAAAAAAAACCCCTCTCTTTATTCTCTCTCTGTATTCTCACGCATTATAGATTCTAATATCGTTGTTAGCAGGGGACTACCTTGATTTTGAGTTGTAGCAGATGTAGGATGGTGGAATATATGGTGCTTTTTTTTTTTTTTTTTTTCCCCTCCTATGCAGAAAACTAACCCAGGAAGAGTATGAGCGTCAGGAGAAAGAGCAGAAATTGTCTGCTGCAGATGAAAAAGCTGTGCTGGCCATCGAGGAAGTGAAAGTTTACAAGTAACTTCAGTTTCTGAAGACTGTTGTTTTCCTATATTTCAGCTATTGAAGAAAATTCATTTAAACCTCTCTCCTTCCCCTCCTTTTCCTTTTGTACAGGCAAAGGATCCAAGATATGGAAGAAGAATTGCAAAAAACAGAGAGATCTTACAAAAACCAGGTAAATTTCCTGCTTGCTGGTTCTTATGTCACCTTTTACTGCATACTAGTAGTTGGACAAAATAAGCTAAAATGCTGCTTTTCTTCTCAGATTGCTGCTCATGAGAAAAAGGCACATGACAACTGGGTAAGAATGTTCTTCCTTTTCTGATGCAAACAGTTTGTATTTGAGTTCAGGTTGGTGCAGTTAATGCAGTTGACAAAATTTTCCCTCATAGCTTATTGCCCGCTCTGCCGAGAGAGCTCTGGCTGAAGAAAAAAGAGAAGCAGCCAACCTGAGACAAAAGTAAGTACAGTACAGACCGTTTTTATTGCTCTTTGAACACACTCCGTGTTGCTTGGGAGAGAAGAAGCTCAAACAATGCAAGGTGCACAGTTAGCCTGCTTGCTCAGAATGTGCAGTGCATATTTGAGTTACTAATTCTAGACTACTATTAACCTGTTTTGATGGTTAAAGTAAGATTTCTTGGTGAAAGCTGTTACACTTTACAGTGCAGTTTGCCTATGATACTGTTACATTATAACAAATATGACTCATGTATTATTTGAATAAAACACCTGTATTTTTTAAAATTAGATTAATAGAAGTAAACCAAAAAATCGTCATGCTTCAAAGACCATTAATTGTAAAGCCAACTCCAGACAGACCCGATCGCCAGATCCTACCACGGCGAGGTAAATGCTGCCGTTTCTCCCAAAACTTTGGTCTTTGAGTCAATATATCCTAAAAAAATAAGGCTATGGTAAACTGTAGAAAAGTAAATCAAGTGTTTTTTCCTTTTTGGCGTAGGGCCCTTAAGCAGAGATGGCTCTTTTGGCCCATCACCTGTGAGTGGAGGAAATCCATCACCCACACAGATGATAGAAGTTCCTCCTCGGCCCCTTTCTGCTCCTCGAAGGGAAGGCTCAAGAGGTGAATTTGGTAAGCAGGGAAGCTTCCCTTCTGTGATAACTATCTCTTATGCTGCAAACCCAGGAATGCTAAGGTCTGACCTTGGTTCTAGGGATAGTGGTAAGTATTGATACCTGTTTTATTAATACACAGATGGGTGATTTTTTTTTTTATATAGAAATAGCTCAGGCACGTGTTGATTAGGATCTCTGGGGTTCTTGTTTCCCTTAAGGTGCGGTGGTAGATGGCCCCCCTGCTCCACGAAGGCCACCAGAGTTACCAGGAAGGATGTCTGTTCCTGGTAAGTTACGTGGCCTGCAACCAACTGCAACTTCCCCAGTTATTCTTTCACTTCAGAAATGTAATTTGAAAAGCCACGTTCCTTATCCCACAGCATGGTAAGACGTGCATCCGTGGCTCTCTTTGCAGATCTCGGACCTGCTGTAGCATCCCTGATCAGTAGTGGGCCAAGAACCTCCTCCCCTTCCGCAGCGATGGATGGAGTGGTAAGCTGAAAAAAACCCCAACCTTCAGGAAGTGTTTCTAATACATGATTCACTGTACTTCCTGCTGCTTCTTTAACTGTATCATGTTCTGTCTTGTCTATATCCTGTCACTATCCTTATTTGCTGTCCAAAAAAAAAAAAAGCAACCCTCTCCCAAAGAGTCTGAAGCCCCCTGTGTAGCTACCGATTCACCTTCACCTATTGAACCAGCTACAGTGAGTATTCAGAGGCTGAACATGGCGTTACTCTGCTTTGATGGAGAGGAATAACAGGCTTGGTGTTCTGAACTGCTAAATAACAAAATGCTCTGCGAAACTAACCAAGGGCTTATACCTCTGTCTCAAAAGGTTTCTCTAATGATGAACAGTTGCTGTCTGGTTTTTATGGAATTGAGGAAATGAGATCTTTCTTGTTAAGGACTGCAGGCAAACACTTTGGAGTGACTACAACAATAATCCCAAGAAGCTGACTTACCTGTGGTATTTAAGCACAATTCCATATGTAATTCAAGGTGCCAGGCCCTTTGCCAAAGGGGTGTCCACCGAGGACACTTCAGAAGGGATTGAACTTTTCTTTAGTACAGCTTCAGCTAAAGAAAACTTGTCATCTCAGAAGGTACACTAAGCATTCACTCCTAGGTAGTGCAAGCAGTGTTCTGGGTGAAGGGACAACGATGGTGCAGTAACTTTCCCTATTTTTCTACTTGGTTAATGTGTTTTGGGGTGTGTGGTGGGGTTTTTTTTTCTTCCTTTTTTTACGCCCCCCCTTTCTTCCACCTCTTGGCCTTTGGGTGAGTGCTTGTGGTGTTCAGCAGTGTCAACGCTCCTCTGATGCAGCGAATAACACACTGAAGTATAACCTAATCTTGCACAGGCTAATGCTAGTCCCAAAGGCCCACCTTCGTTCCCTGGGACGCCTATCATGACCTCCCCCGTGATGGGACCTCCGCCTCAACCGCCTGTTCGCTATGGACCGCCGCCAGCTCCGCTCCGTGGGCACTTTGGGCCTCGACCTCTTCCTGTGCCCCTAGGTAGAGTTGCGTTGCCGCGCGCTGAGACTTAACTTTTCCCACCGTGCTTCTCGGAAGCCTGGTACAGAAGCGAGATCTGCCATCCATTAGCACACAGCTTCCCCACGCTTCATGGGGTCTAGCTGTCTCGTTCAGTAAGCTTGGACAGGTGGGTTGTTTCAAGCCTCCTTAATGCCAAGGTGTTTTTCCTTGTTTAGTCTAAAATGGAAACCAGCAGCCGCACGTCACTAGAATATAATTCACAGCCTGTGATGTCTGCTTGTGACAGTGACCCACCCCAGAGCTGCTCCAAAAAATGAAGAAATGAGGAACAAGTCAGGAGCTTCGCTGTTTAGGTTAAAGCAAGATGTCATGTAACGCCGTGTTTTCCGTTCCTTCTAGTTCGCGGTGCTCCCTTGCCACCTCCGGCTGCAAGAGATTTCTTACCTGGCCCACCCTTAGGAATGAGAGATCTGCCTCCGGGCCCACTACCGCCGCCTCCAGATCCAAGAGGCTATGGACGTGGGCACCCTCCTTTTCGACCCCTAGGTCCTCCTGGCCCAAGAGATTATCCTCCAGGCCCACGGCTACCCCCACCTGGTTCAAGAGACTATACGCCTTCTCCTAACAGAGACTTGCCTCCATCAGGACCTAGAGACTACCCGGCAGGCCCGCCACCACCACCGCCACCGCCAGCAGGCTCAAAGGACTACACACAGCCTCCCGCCCAGAAACCCTAACTGCAGCGCCTGGTCAGCAGCTCAACGGAATGGACTCTAGCGCACTTCCTACGGTCAGGATTTTAGGAAATGGCTCTCTATTTGAAGCCATTTGTCTCATTTCAGTATACTTCAGCTTTTGCGGGATCAATTTTTATCCAATTGCTACAGACATCTTATGTGCATTTACGATCACCTTAAACTCATCCATCCTCTTGGGCTGCAAGAACCTTCTTGTGATGGACTTGAACCTACTCTAAACGTGCAATAGAAAGGAAGTACCTGTGTGGCTAGTTTTAATTAAATGTAGCCTCTGTAACCAGTTGGTGAATGAACTAATTTCATGAAAAATGTAAATCAAATCATTTCCTGTGGAAATAATTTTTAAGTAAAATGCTATCCTACCTGCCTTCTCCATCACATCATTAAGCTGCAGTTACTGTAGGCCAGGGGTTTACGTGAGGACTGTGAGGTGGTTTTGTTGTGGGTTTGGGGTTTTTTTTGTTTTTTTTTAAAAGATGTCTGGTCAGAGATCAGAAGCACAAATGACACTGTATTCAAAGGAAAGTTATAATAAAAAGCAAAATTCCTTTTGCTAAACCCTGAAGGCTTTGTTTCAGTGCCATTTCTTGTTCAGAAAGGACAGTGGTTCAGTAATTTAACCAGAGAATGCTACAGCCGTGATCAAGTTCAATAATTGAATCAAGGCTGAATAACTGCCGCTGCTGCAAGATTAACGGCGGCGTTACCCTTACGCTGAACTAGTCTAGCATGTTACGGATTTGCTTCACGTACTGAGGACAATGGGGGATACAGCCCTCCGCCGCTGAAGGCGAAACCTTTATGAAGCTGTGTACTTAGTCTGGAAATACAGGTGAACGCTCCAGGATTCTAGAAACTAAGAAATTTCATAATCACTTTCTCCTTTCAAGACTGGCTTGCAGCATTGAGCAAGGTTTGAGAGCCGAGTTTTCATCTCACTCAGTATTTAAGACCGATTCAGCTTCTTTAGCGGTAAGGCTGTGTTTAAAAAAAAAAAAAAATAGTTTTCCGTAAAGCAGAGTGGGTGTATGTAAACCATAGTAATCTGTATTGCTTTAAATCAGTTTGCGTATGCAGCATGCTGGATAGCTTTAAAAACACACCCTATACTTGTAGGTGTTCAAGGAAGTCCCTGAATGTAAGTGTTAGTACAAGGATGACTACGTAGTGTTTGACATAGCAGGACGCTTATTACTTATCGAGATGCTAAGGTCATTCAAAAGTGCTCTGCACAAAGGTAAGCCTTAGGGAGGAGGAAAAAAAGGGAAAACAACTAGGAATAATAAAAAACCCTACTGAAAGGCCATTACAGCTTTACTGCTGGAGTACAAGCAGCCATTAAACTTGCCATCTAGGTGTTACATTCTTACAGTACAAGTATTAAGCTTTAGATTTAAGATGAAAGACAAGACAGAACGTCATCAAAGCATAAAACAATACAAGAGCTTGTGCTGTGGGGAGCAGTAGTCCTTTCGGTGAAAGACAGTTCACAGAAAAAAGGCAAAGGGTAGAAGCAACTTTAAAAATGGTATTTCACACTCTACAGACATTAATTCACAATTAGTTAAATACAAAGCTCTACTTGTGTATTTAACAAAAATACTTCAAATTTGACATTTCATATAACTGGAGTTAATACAGACATCTACAAGCTGGGGAAGAGGCAAGGTAAGCAGCTGAAACAATGGGTTCGTAACTCAAGTGAGAGTGTTCAATTTGCGTAGTGGCTAGTGACACGCACACCGGTGAGCATTCGTGTTGGAAAGCCGGGTTCTCCCAGGTTCAGGACCTTTCCTTCCCCCGCACCAAGCTTTGCGATGTCCGGCGTCTCCTCCCTCGCCCACCCCAGCTAGCGTTAACAACTAACAGCTGGACGGAATTGCCCTCCGGGAGCAGCCGGAGGAGGGCGTGGGTGCCGAGGCGGCGGGACACGCGCACACAACTGACCGCCGCGCTTTCACCAGGCCGTGAGCGACACCAGCGGACACGGGAGGATGGCGGAGCCAGGGCAGAGCCACAGAATCACCCCTTGCCGAGCGAGACGGGCCGGACGCGTTGCGGGGACGCTCGGTGCTGCAGCTTCTTAGGTGGTCAGGAGGAAACCTGAGCCAGCCAGGGACCGCTGGCAGGCAACGCAGCGATCGACCAAGCTCAGACTTACTTGCAGCCGTAGACCAATGCTTTGCTCCAACCTTTTGCAGAGTTCAAAGGATGATTTTTACTTATTATTTTTTGAGAACGCACGTATCCTCCTTTTGTCTGGTATCCAGAATGCTGCATTCAGAGGTATTTCCGTAACTCATAGGGAAATCTTTTCAGGGCTTGATATTCAATATATCGGATGTAATACCATGGGGGTATTGTAAAGACCCGTAAACAGGAAAATTCAATTGCACTTTTTGTTTCTTCCCCTCCAACGAGTAGTGGAATGTGAGGAAGCGTTGCTGACTTGTGTCGTAACACCTAAATAACGTCATCCCTAGTTATACCAGAACAGAGGGAAGGCAAGAAGATTAGGACATTCAAAAACAGCTTTTTATCCTAATCGATACGGTAAAGCCAAAAATGCTGAACACCTGCCTGTAGACAGACCAGTATCGTGAGGAAAAGTAACATCCCTTCCATTAAAGCATACCGTAACGTCTTGGGGTTAGGCGGCAGAAAAGAGGGATTGGCGATGCATCTGCACCCAGGCTGTTTAAAATAAACCTAGTATTTGACGCTGTTTCGGGAGCTGGGTCTTCCGTTAGCATAGCAGAGTATTTAGGCACTAGTTAGATACGCAACAAGTATATCAAACCTTAAAGTATTGTATTAAATATCCACGCAAATATATGAAAGATTTGACTGGGTTCTACTTCTGTCCCTTTATTAGGTCCGAAGGTAAATGCAAGTGTGTCATAATAAGCCAATGTCCTGCAGCTTATTACACACCAAATCAAAAATATAGAAAATAAATGATAATCCTATCTACTTACATAAAAAGGTAATTTTTAGAGTAAGTTTCCAGACTTGCACAAAATATGCAGAAAACTGCATACAATCAGTTTCCATAAGAACAGCAGTTTCATGTAAAAGGTGGGTCAACCTGCTAGCCAGATCTACTTTACCAAAAGCTCTGGAAAACGGATGCTTGAACACTGAGGGGCCTGTCCTGCTGTCAGGGAAGCGGTGAAACGCCCACCGCCAGGAGGATGAAGTCCTGGAGAAAGCCTCTCTCCGTCCCCCACCCACCTTTGCAAATCACTCTGCCACAAGATAGAGAAAAATTAGCTCTATTAGGGAGTAACGGTCATTTGAAGGATTGTGACACGTATCCAAAACTCAGTACAAGTGGGTCAGGCAAGGCTGTTAAAATCGTAGTTCAGTGTTCTCATCTGCAGTTGTCCTCCTCCTGGCCCGGCCAAAGCAGAACAGCTGACTGAGGAGCTCTTCTGCGGCCACCCCACTTGACCCAGCGTCCTCCTCTCTCGCACTTTAAATCACTTGCAGTATCTCAAGCTCCTTCCCGCCCCGCCTCCTCTTTCTCCCGGTCTTCTGCCACCCAGCCCGCTACAGAGGACTCCGAAATGCAGATGAGAGGAACTACGATAGCACAGCAAGTGTAAACAGGTTAGTCTGCCTGCCACATCTTTATTGCTACAGGTTTGGCAAAGGGGCAGTCTCCATCCTTGGCTGGAGTTTGAGGCAAAAGGATAATAACGGTTAAGATAAAAAGTGATGAACAGCAAAAATTAGGAAAAGCAGTCAACGTATTTCAGGGCTCTCGGAAAAACCTGTATCTGGAAAGTACTGGAAAAAAGGCTTGCAGTTGAATGGTGGGCTTGCCTCTGACCCTGAAGCAGTGCTGCGCAGCGTGTGATGGTCCCGTCTGACCTACTGGCATGAATACAGTCGTTTTCCTGCCCCTCAAAGGCTAAGGCTACTACACACAGCTACCATGACTTGTGGTTCAGTTCACAGAAGTCTCACAACTAGGGTCATTCCTTGTGCAATGTTTGATGGAGGTGAAGGTAAAGTGGTTTCTTGGTCAACAGTTGCAATTTCTTCCTTTTAAAGTCAGTGGGTTTTTTGTACCTGTAACCACAAGAAAGTGAGTTAATCCAAGTGCTCATGGCTGCGTAGGAAGATGAAAGCCTACTAGAAAGCTTGTCCTGTACAGATCCTACTACCGTAATCTTTCTTTTAAAGACATCTGACAAGACTTACTGGAAGCAACAAGAACGAATAGATTTACAGGAGGAAACCCAGACCAGTATTTTCTCTGGATTATTATTTTAACAAAACAAAGATTTCAATTTTTAAATGAACGTGAGCTTGTTGTAAGGAGAATTCATGATATAATACTCTGGACTGTAGGAAATGCAGTATCTCCTGCTTCAGTACTCGGCATCTCAGTACTTCAGAAGTTCTCCAGCTAGCACAGACCAAGAACTCTTCCTAGAGATGCCCAGAATTCACCCTCTTCCTGAAAAAAAACCCACTCAAAAACCTCACTCAGACCTTCAGCCACACAGTAAAGGCAGGATGCGCATCACAACCACTGCAGCGTAACTGGCTAACCTATTTCTTTGTCTACTTGGAGTGGGGGGAAGAAACCAACCACCCAACAATGCTTTGAAATGTTCATAAAATTCAATTGCAAGTCAGTATCCCACGTCTCAAATCAGTTTTCCTTTACGGAAGTTCTGCACCAGAAGATTGTGGGAGTTGAAATTTTTTTTATTTTTTTTTTAAATATAGCTGATCTGACACTCAGGCTAAGATCAAAAGTAAAATCTCCCAATTTGTTAACTTCATACAAAATTTAGTTACAAACACCAGCATTTTATTTGGAAATAGTCTAGTTTTTGAGAAGAGTCTCTAGCCATTTTATGTGCCTAAAAGCATTTTATCTTCCCTTCTTTATTAAAAATGGAATACCCCTTATGGAAGTCAATGGAATGAGTCCAAGAAACTTTCCTTGATGCAACGAGCCACACATTGTAACTGAAGTCTAATTCATTTCCTCTGCCATTGGCATCTGTAATTGCAAGTCACTTACAGTTCTATAACAATTGCCCCAGGTTTAATTTCATCCATCTCCATGAAAGCAAAGCACTTGGTGCTAGTAAACCTTTTCTTAGGCTTGTAGTGTTTGAATTCAAAGAAAATAGCTGCACCTAGAGTGGAAAACGGTTTAATAGAAAAGTTAGCAATTATGGCCAGCAGTTACGTGAAAACTTATCTGCCATTAAGATGCTCTACATCCATCGGACAGAATCATCTCCAACACTTCAGTTATTTACCCAAAAGCTATACCATGTTCTTACAACGCTCGCCACACTCACAAGAGCTTGTACTCTTCGCTCAATTATTCATATCCGGGTAACGGTTCGTCCAATGACCAAGAAGGTCATAAAGCCCGTGTAGCAGAGCAGGCTGCTGCATTTTTATCTCTTTTCATTCCTCCCTTCTCTACAAGTCATCACAACGACCGATTTGAAAGAGACAGAACGCAAAGGTCTATTTTTATCCTTGTCTGGATCTTGAGCCCTGCAGTAGCAGCTCGGGCACGGCCTGT